TTTTGTGGCAAGGGGTAGTGAAAACATTTAATAGACATCGTATGGTTACTTGAGTTTTCTGTGCTTTCTATGTTGACATGAGTTCTGGTTTTGTCTGGATTATGGGGATATGAAGTGAGTTTCTGGCTTTGGCGTGTTGATTAAAAGTATGTACACCCGTTAATTTTTTTATCGTGGTTTACACGCTAATATGCTTTACTTGAATTTTGCAGTTACCGGAAGCCAAAGACCTACTTACCCGTCCTCAAAACCAACAAGAGTAGATTGGGATAAGCTTGAAGCTGAAGTTAAGAAAGAGGTTTGTCTGCTTCCTCTATGTAAATTGAGTTAATTATTTGTTTTTTAGTGCACTTGTTGCTCCTAACATTCTTCATTTCAGGAGAAAGAAGAAAAGCTTGATGGCGATGCGGCATTGAACAAATTTTTCCGTGAAATATATCATGATGCAGATGAGGACACAAGAAGAGCAATGAGCAAGTCATTTGTACGTTTTATATTTTCTATTTTTTTTTAATTCCATGATCCTAATTATCCTTTGAGGCGAGTTAGGTCCCTCAGATATCCCTACAACTCGGGCAGAAAAAGGGATCTGCCCATATACGAGACTAATCTCGAGTCAAGCGGCATGTCAAATATCCAGCTCCAGAATTCTTATACCTGCTCTTTTGGCACTTCATCTGTCTTGGGGTTTATATTGTCACTCATGCCAACCATCAGGATTATATTTTCTATCTTTAATCCTGGTTATAGTATATGCCAACTTTAAATTCCTCCTTATTGTGGATCCTGCAATGTCTTAAAAATCACAAAAGATATTTTGAGAATGCCAACTACTTCTGTCAACACTGCATCTGATCTCTGTTCAATATTCTTGAAGGTGGAGTCTAATGGAACTGTACTGTCCACAAACTGGAAGGAAGTGGGATTAAAGAAGGTAGAGGGAAGTCCTCCTGATGGCATGGAGTTGAGGAAATGGGAATATTAGTATATTTTCTGGACCGTTACTATATATTCTGTGAAGTGTAATTATGCTCTGGATGCTTGTTATTGGTTAGCTAACTGCTGAACACAAAGGATATTTGATTGCTTTAATTTTGCTGTGTTTTTCATGAGGTATGTCTTTGAGGGTTAGTCTCGTGAGATTGTTTCTTGTGACCAAAAGTTCTGTTTTGATTTTTCATCTTAATTATAGTTTTTACTATTACAACAACTGAACCAAGTATCTTAATTATAATGGTAATAACGTTGTATTTTTCGCTTAAAATGAATTGATAATCAATTCTTTATATGTAAATATGTCACCGTGCTAACATCTATTAAGCTGCAATATATCTATGAACATAGTTACTGGGCTCCATTAATACCTATATTTTATTAATTACTATAAGACAAAATAACAATTTATCATGTGTTTAATATTAAATGCTCAGTTTTCAATCCACTAAAATTCTCATCCATCACCAAACATAGCATGACGTTACCAATTATTCTCATGGTATGGTTCATGTTGGGATTCATCATTTTTATTATTACCTGTATAAGACATATAAAGGGTTGAATTCCAAGAGACAAGATCGTACGCACAACGAAAAACTCATTCATTGCACCCCTCACTCACCATAAACTAGCCATTGACATTGATACTTATCTCTCACAAAGATTATAGTTCTTCATACCACGAACCTTATGCAAATACGTACATACAGTATCTATCAACCTCATCACTAGTTGGACACCCGAACTAATGTTGATGTAAATACATCAATAATTTTAAATTATTCTAATAATACCATTACACTTTGCAAAATACTTAAATCATAAAAATATAATATTTAAATCAGACTTATAGTGTATACGTTATTTTTTCATTAAACAAAGTAAATAAATTTAAATATATTACATTTTAAATTTTTATTGCCTAGCTATTTTTGAAATAAGTTAAAGAATTAAATTAACAATAATTACAATAGAATTTAAAGAAAATATCTTACACTTATTATAATTCACATTATCCATTCAGAAAAGTCTAAGTTGATTAAATGGAAATTAATAGGTTCATGATGGCAGGATGAATCAGAAAATCTAAAATAGGTTAAGTTAAAATTAGAATTTCAAAGCAAAATACAAAACAGGTTAAATTTCTAAAGTTACTCCCCACACTCCAAATATAGTCCAATTAATATATATGGGAAAAATATTTCTGCAATTAATGCAGATAAGTTATCTGCATTTATTCCCAAAACGACGTCATTTTGGTATTGAAATCTTAAAAAATTATAAATATAAAGACTATTATAACCCTGAAATAAATTAAAATTACAAAAACACCATGATTTCCGTCCCAAAACGACGTCGTATTGGCTTACTGCAGATAATTTATCTGCAGTAACTGCAGAAAAAGCGAACCCTTAATATATATATATATATATATATATATATAGTTATGATCGTATTTCAGCACTAATTTATTAATTAAAACAGCAACAACCAAAGAGAAATTAATGACTTTTGTTATCTTAAATAAAAGCTCAAACTTGCTACCGCCCACTTCGTTTCATTTTTTCAATCTCTTAGTTCACTCTATTTTTCAACTATTATAAAAGCCTTTGAACACTATTTTTATTTTTTTCATATAAATAATTACAATTTTAAAGAAAAAAATTACATTATAATTTTCCCCCTTTAAATTTTTTTCTTAATAGGTATTGTTGGTTTATAAAGCACCGACACTTCAAAAAAAATTCTGGCGTGTCGTGTTCGACACTCCGACATTTTTCGACACTCCAATACTCTTTGCAAAGATTCAAAAAAGGTTCAAAGATTACATTGCATTGCATTTTGAGTTCCAACTATTAGATTCGTTAGATTACGATTTTATTGAGTTTAATATAAACATTTGGGATATTTTATGTTTATTTGCAAAATTGATGGGTATTATAAGTTTGACTTTATCTTTTTGTTAAATTATTGAATACTAAACATAATATACACTTCATAAATTAAAAATATTATATAATATCAAAACGTTCCTAACGTGTCAAAATTTAACACTTTTTAGAATTAACGTGTCGGAGTGTCGTGTCGTATCGTATTGTATCACTTTAACATCTTTGTATAGTCATGATTCCTCATATTTAATACTTTATTATTTATTTTCATCTTTGTATGGTTATGATTTTCCATATTTAACGTTTTCACTTTAAATATGGGGAATCATGACCATACAAAGATGGAAATAAATATAACCGTTGGATCAACATAATCGATCGAACGGTGAGATTGATTGGTAGTCACTTGGTAGTAACACAACTTGGTTGTCACAATATCCTTCTCCTTTTTTATTAACATAATAAAAATGATACATTCAATTTGTTTCAATTTCATTGGAGCCATATTTATGGTGTGGCTGATTAGTTTATATGTGTCAAAATTATCATTACACCTTTTAATAATTTTTTATTCAATAATCTTATTTAAAATCTATGTTGGATTGAAAAATTTTATCACGTAAATTATATTTATAAAGTATCATATTAATTCAAAATTGCTTAATACTTTCTTCATATATATCAAGAATAATGCAATATAATTTTTTTAAAAAAATTAAAACACTTTGATTATATTATTATTATTCAGTTTTTACAAGATTTAGGTTAATTCATAGTTTCAGCTGATCCGTTAAATGGATGAAATTTATATTTTGTATAAAATTAGTGGCGGTGCCTGAAGTGGTCAGGCAAACTGCCAGCAATGACATGGTGGTATAATTAATTTGTGACATTGCAACAAAAAGGGTCTAGACATTATAAACATTTTAAATGGCAAAAATATTTTCATGTCACAACTTACGAAGTACAATAAACTTTCCATCTCAAAACACAAAAATATTCACTAAGGGAGCGTTTGGTTAAGGAAAAATTTTTATGAATCATAGGAAAATGTGATTAGTAGGAAAATTGTTGAGAAATGAGTTTGGTAGAAAAATGTAAAAAAAGTTGTTTGGTAGGAAAAATTTTACTAGGTAAATTAAGTAAGATTTATAAAGTCTATGTTTGATTTGAGGTAAAATATAGATAGGGAAATAAGTCACAATTACAAAAATATCCCTGTTTTAAAAAATGACAAAACAGGATTGCTACCCTTTATCCGTATCATTTGCCTTTGTGAAAGGGCACGCTCGTCTTTGCCTTTGTATGTAATGTGAGCTTATCTCATGGTTTTTGATAATACCATCTACGCGAATGAGAAATTTGGCCTGCTTTCTGAGGAGAGATACCTATGCAAGTGAGTTTCCTATGATTCACATTTTGGTACCTAAATCAGGAAACAACTTGAACCAAATGTAGCTTTCTCTTATTCCCACTAATCAGATATCTAGCATTTTGAATATTTTCCAGCAACCAAACGCCCCCTAAGTGAAAATATTTTTCAAAATCGTATACCCTAGATGAAATTTAAGTATTTAACATTATTATGCAAAGATTTTCAAGAATGAAAATACAATTCGCCAACCCAACCCCGTTGGATAGGTCTAGTTTGTAATTCATATTTGACTCGGGCTTGAAATAAAATTGATCATTTCTCTCTGTCCTTTTTTTGAAAAAAAAAAAATAATAATATTCAGAATAGTTGTTTAGTTTAGCTCTTGTTATCTATATTTAGCATTTTTGTGAATTAACGAAACACTATTTGATTGCAACGATGGCAAAATACAACAAGAATCGAAACTGTATGCAACAAAATGTAGTTATTTGTTAGTTGTCAAAATTGGTCATACAAAAATGACTGCTACGAAATGGTTGGAGATTGATGTTTAACCTTAAGAATTTGATGAGCTTCCATTGTTGTGCTCTTTTTATTTTTTTTCTTTTTTCTTTCCCTGTAATTTATATTCTTTCTCTTGGTTAGGGGGAAAAATCAGAAGAAGACAACAATTGTATTGAACACAAAGCATAAAGCATGTCCATACTACGCGACAATACAATTGCTTTTGTACAAGCATGCTTGAACCTGCCACCGCAGGTGAATTCAAGGACACCATGGTGCAACATCGGTCAAGGCAAGCTTCCAGAAAATGCTTTGCCAATGTTGCAGATGCAAGTGTGTTTGATCTTTTTTGCAACCCTTTTCATCCACAGCTTTCTGCGTCATCTACGATTCCCCAGATTCACTTCTATGAGCGTTGTAAGTCCTTACTTTCCCCCCACAAATACTTCATTTATGAACATCCATTTTCTTCTATGTCCTTGTCAATTTCAAATTATGACATTGCATATCATAACATGTTACATATTTACTATCCTAAATGATTAAAGGGTCCCGTTTTTTCTACAGCAGAGAAATATAATTTTTTTTTTTAAAAAAGGGACCCCCTAATTATTTTATTTTTTTTAATTTTTTTTACCACAATCCAACGTCGAATACTGGTAAAATAATTTTTGTGTCTGTATGATACACAATTATTTTTACGGTAAAAAAATTTAAATATTATTTTTTTAATAAATAATTATGCAAATTTAATCGTTTTGAAACTATTTACGTTAGTATAACAGTCAAACACGCTCCACAGGGAAAAATCTTACCACTCCTCCAAGACTTGTTACTTTTTACTTAAAAATGCTTTATAGATAAGGGAAAAGGTGTTTCATTTGTAACACTATAGAAGATAAAGTTATTTTTAGCAATCCCAAAACGATGATGTTTTAGGGTTTAGGAAAAAAAAAATGCAAAAAGCGTATTTCGAAAATTTTACTTTCCTCTTGCATAATGAATTTTACTAAAATACCTTGTAATCTTTTGTTTTAAACCTTAAAACGACGTCGTTTTAAGGTTGTAGGAGATAAATTATCTTCTATTGCAAAAGAGACTTAATCCATAAATATAATATATTAAATTAGGAAAATCATTGTCTTATGTTGCTTCAAGGAAAAATTATTTGTAACAACTCATTATAACTATGTACTATAGATAGTACATAGTTATAATATTAAAGCTTTTTTTTTATAATATTAAAGCTATTTTTTCTCTCTCTTTCTCTCTTCAAACATTGTCGCTGACATGGTGAATAGAGAAAAAATAATTTTATCCTTATAACTATATACTACCTGAGTATATAGTTATAGGGTTTGTTTTTTCTGATGTTACTTTAGATAACTTTATCTAATGTTCATCAAAACAACGTCGTTTTGGGTTGAAATATTATCACAAGTTCAACAATGTTCATGCATTTTTCACACTTCAAGCCCTAAGGCTCTTGCATGAGGTATGCGTTTGAGATATAGTATATAAAATCATTAATGACATTCACTAAACTGCTTAAACTTTAATGCTAAAATCACAAAATATCTTAATTTTTAGGGAAAAAAAAAAAGTCCTACTACCAAACGTAATGCATGGAACAGTTCCTAATATATATGGTGGTGGGTGTTTGAGCAGGTTGGTTTAATCCTAGCAACTAGCTTCAATGAAAAATGGGTTGAGAAGAGGAAGAGGCTGTTCTTCTTTAATTCACAAGAAAATCTGGGGTTAATTTCAGTATTTGGTTACATGCTTTTTCTGTTCCAAATTGGCGTCAAGACAGATATGAGTGTAGTCCACAGGACTAAAAAGAGTGCCATCAACATTGGGTCTGCTATAGTAACTGTTCCCTATCTATGTGGCATGGCTGTTGTGTATCATTACTCATCAAAATACCTAGACAAAACGCAGACAGCAACACTTGGACTTGTGACTGGATTGTATAGTATGACCACATTCCCTAGCATTTCCTCAGTTTTAAGTGATTTGAAGATTCTGAATTCTGAGCTAGGACGATTAGGCCTGGCCTCAGCACTAGTTACTGAGATATTCAACATTTTCTTGTCAGCAACCTTCTCAATCACTGAAGTTGTGTACAAAACTGGTACAATGGCAGCTTTTCTTTGTTCTGGAGCTTTTGTTTTGTTTGTGTTCTTGGTTATTTTTGTCATAAGACCAGCCATGTTTTGGATTATAAAACAAACACCAGAGGGTTCCCCTGTTAATGATCACTATGTCTATTTGGTACTTTCATTGGCTCTCTTAGCTTCATATGCCTCATATCGGTTTGGGTTCCATGCTTTCTTTGGACCTTTTTTCTTGGGTTTGGCTATTCCAGAAGGACCTCCATTAGGCACTGCTGTTATTAAAAAGATTGATACTTTTGTTAATGGGGTTTTAGTGCCTCTCTTTGTGACTACATGTGTAATGAGGGTAGATCTCAAAGATATCATGAATTGGAGGAACAAAGTGGATGGAAAAGTTGATAACTTCATGGTGCAAACCTGGATTATTATTGTGGTAACTTCCGTTGGCAAATTTGTTGCTTGCTTGTTACTTCCTTTATACGACAGGATGCCATTGAATGATGCTGTATCTCTCTCTTTGGTCATGAATTGCAAAGGAGTAGTTGATATAGCCGTATTCACTTTACTCAGTGATATAACGGTAAGCATTTCATTTCATTTATGGTTAATATATACAGCTCATAACTCATGTTCATTCTTGGACATAATATAAAAAAGGAATTAAGATTGTTGGGTAAGTAAAAATAGGAATTTTTATGGTTGGATTTGGAAGACATCTTTGCTCTGAATGTATCATCTCATGTTTTGTTTGAACATGACTCTTGAAAAATTTCAGTCATTGATATATTAACAATCACAATTTTAATGACCATGTTCATGAAATGGAGAAGAGAAAATAGTCATGTTAATTGCATGAATGAAATATTGAAATTTTTCACATGATATGATCATATTAAAATAAGATATGAGAGAATCAATTCCCAGTTTTGGTTTCATTTAAGAGTTCGTTTTTGCACATGAAAGGAGATGATTGGATAAAGAGAAGGTAAAGTGGTATATATGGTGCTATAGCTCATATTTGATTCTTGAATCAAGTAATCCCCAAAGGGAATTTGGTAAATTTCTAAGATTATGTGTAACTATCAAACATAGGTGTTTCTCATTTCATACAATTCTTTAATAAATTTTTGTCATAATATAAGATAAAATTATAAGTTTCTGATTTGAGTGCTTATATTTTTATAAAGAGACTGTTTTTGTACTCGAATTCGTGACCTTTAGATTACAAATAAGCGAACCCTTTAAGAAAATGATATGAAAAAAGAATAAAAAAATCAAATGTCTGCTATAGAGGTTTGAAATTTGGATAATAATTTGCTCATTTCTAATGCAGTTCCTGCCTGGTAACGCCTACGCTTTGTTGATGATAAGCATCATACTGAATGCCACTTTTGTGCCAATGTTGGTGCGTTATCTCTACGATCCAAGGAAGAAATATGCAGGTTACACAAAGAGGAACATAGCTGATCTGAGAACAAATTCAGAGCTTCGAGTTCTTACATGCATTCACAGACCATACAACATCCCACCAACAATAAACCTTTTAGAAGCAGCATACCCAACAAAAGAAGAACCACTTGCAGCCTATGTGTTACACCTCAAAGAACTAATTGGAAGAACAACCCCAGTTTTCATCTGGCACCAATTACAAAAGAAGAAGAACACTGAATCAAAATGCTCAGTGGCTGATGAGAATCTTCTTGATGCTTTCGAGAATTTCGAAAAAGAGTTCAAGGGTGCATTAGTTGTTAACACCTTCACAGCTATTTCACCACCAGAGATGATGTATGATGACATTTGCACAATGGCACTTGACAAGTTTGCATCCTTAATAGTCCTTCCATTTCACAGAAAATGGTCATCAGATGGTAACTCTGTTGAGTTAGAAGATGAAAATTTAAGAGAATTGAACTATAGAGTTCTTGAAAGAGCTCCATGTTCAGTTGGTATCTTAATAGAGAGAGCACAAATAACACATGTTTTCTCACCTGAAACACCACACACTGTTTGTTTGCTTTTCATAGGAGGCAAAGATGACATAGAGGCACTCTTCTTTGCAAAAAGAATGACTAAGAATCCACATGTTAGGCTCACTGTGGTTAGGTTCTTAGCTTCAAAGGGTAGCAACACAAATGTCAAAGACTGGCAGGACATTCTTGAAACTGAATTACTAGATGATATTAAGATGAATAAAAAGGTTGGTGATGCTTATGTGGAATATATAGAAAAGACTGTGAAAGATGGACCCGAAACAGCTTTGGTGATTCGTTCTTTGGTTACTGAGTTTGATTTAATCATTGTTGGAAGACTAGCAGGGATTGAAACTCCTCAAACTTCAGGGTTGTTGCAATGGAGTGAGTATCCCGAACTTGGGGTGTTAGGTGACTTGCTAGCTTCCACTGATGCTGCCGGCAAAGCCTCTGTGTTTGTCATGCGACAACAAATAACAGCCATGGATATTAAAAAATGAGGTTGATTTTGTTTTGGGGTTTGGTGTATTTGAGGGATGAAAAATTGTATATTTAATTGAGGTTTTTTTTTTTTTTTTTTTTTTTTTTCATTTTAGGAATTCAATTTTAATCTGGTGTAGAAAATATATATAAAGGTCCAGAATTTTTTCAAAATGGTTGTATACACATCAACCTGTGAGGGTATTTTTTTTTTTTTTTACTTAGTTTCTTATTTAGTCCATTTCAAATTGATATAGAACTTAATTGCTTGGCAATCACACTTGAATTTCCCATAACAAAAATTTATCATAAAAAATTTATATTGGAAGAATTAAGTTTAATACATTATCTTTGTTTGGTTATTACAAATAAACCAAAGTTATTTAATCATAAATATAACTACTTTTGAATCATAATTATAAGAGTTTCTTTAAAACAATTATTGACTTTCACATGCAAAATTATTTTTATAATATATAGAAATTAAAAGCTTGTATTTTAAAGTTGATTTTATTCATCATACAATTTACTTATTTTATTTATTTTCATTAAAATTTAATTAAAATATATTTATTAGGAGTGACTTAATTATTTATATTACCCTCTTTTAAATAATAATGCATACCAATTTTATTAAAATTTTTATTTAATTCAATAATAAATTTTTTAATTTTAAATGTAGTGTCATTTAATCATAATTTTTTTTAATTTAACTGAATTTAAAACTGATTAAAAGGTTTCATTTTGCTTTTGGTACGTACATAAAAGGTTTCATTTTAAATTAAATTTTATTTATCACTAGATTTGCTTATTTTATTTATTTTTATTAAAATTTATTATATTATTATTTAGAAAGAATTATAAAAAGTCTAAGTTAAACAAATAATATATAAGTAGGGTGTAACAGTTGATTAGGTGCTGAACTGATTCGAACTAGTTTGGTAGCTCCAAATCTGAAGAAAACCACACTACATTTTCCCATCTTAAGTCACGTCAAGACACGCACTTCCGCCATCGCTCCTCGCCGGTAAGTTCTCTCTATGCGTCTTTCTATGTGCTTCGAATCACTATCTGTTTTTCATTCTCTGTTAAAATTCTCTCTCCTTCCCTCATTTTCGTCTTTGAATAAAACTTGTTCGTCGCTGATTTTGAAACTGCAAATCTAGATTAGGAAAAAATGAATTTGGGGTTGGGCTTTGATTTTGGAGCTCTGTAATCTGATTTTGTTGGAGATTTTTGATTTTTTTAATTGTAATTATTATTATTGTTGTGATTATTGTATTTGTTTAATCAATCAGTTGTATAACTAAACAATGGTAGCAAACTGTGTTCATGATCCAAGTTCATGATGATGTCTAGAATGAGTTATGACGAATTTTTACCCTTGCACTATGTTTTTCTTATTTTCATCCTTGCTATGCATGCCTTTAATTTTGTGAAATCCAATTATGCGTTTACTGGCCAATTCTGAAGTATCATGCTTAATGTGATTAGCTTATGTATTAGGTTTTCTTTTTCTTTTTCCTATTTTTTTGTAGGTCAGTATCAATCTATTGTACATCCCTGTTGATCAAGAATGCAATTCTTCGGGGGGTCTGAGATCAGTCCCTCACCACCTGTGCCAACAGCTTCAGGAAACAATGGCCATATGATGTATGTGTTCAATAGGAATGGTGTATGCTTGCTCTATAGAGAGTGGAATCGCCCGTTGCGCACTTTGAATGCCCAGCAAGACCATAAGTTAATGTTTGGTTTGCTTTTCTCGCTTAAGTCATTAACTGCCAAGATGGACCCCACTAGGTATGCTTAACTCTTGGATTTTGAATGCGTGCCAAATCTTTCTTAATGCTATCTTATTCCCATCTGAACTGTTTAGTTTTACTTCCATGATTAGTTTCTTAATATAGGAAGTAACTTATCACATTAAAAGTAATTTGAAGATTGGCTTTTCTCTTATTCTTTAATGCAAGGGATACTAATGGAAATTTATGTTACGATGTTGCAAAAATTGCCAAATTTCCTTCCATGTTATTTCTATCTTGAAGCATTTCTAATCTAGCATCTGCATTCTCAAGGATAGATTTTACAGAACACATTTTTTCCATATGCAATGCATGGAAAATACTTCTAAGTGTTAAAAATGAAAAGCTGTTAAGTTGGGACAGGGTACATGCAATTTAAAATGTAATACTTGATTCTGGCCGTGAATTCCAAAAAGGACATTTGAATAATGTTTATTTCCTCTACTCCTTGCTAATGTGTGGGTAAGTTGATGGTGTATGATGTTCCTTAATTTCCCTCATAATACCCAAGCCACATGCCCACAAATTTCACTTTTGGTTAACTTGATCCTCAATGATTTAATATGATATTGTTAGTAGCAGACCCCAAATGTGAGGAGAAATGAAAATGGGCCTAACGATATAGTTGGGCTAGGCCCTGTTAGTGATAGTAGTTAAAGTTAATTGATATTGTTAGATATAGTATACTAATTGGTATTGTTAGATATAGTAGATAGATAGTTGCTTGGTATTAATTGATATTGTTAGATGCAGTAGTTAGGTTTACTTGATGTTGGAGTATATTCCTCTAAGGAATAGTCAAAAGTAAGACATGAGAAAAGAAGAGGAGAGGGGATTCATTTGTTACAGTTTAGTGAGTTTGAGAGATCAGGTTCTCCAATACATGGGAAACAACAGTACTGTAATTATTGTTTCTCTTCCTGACCTTGGGTTTTCCATTGATCCAGGGGTAGGGGAGATTACATCAATAATAAAAAAAAAATATCGTATTTTTTCCTTCATTATTTCTTTAATCTCTGGACCAATTCTGTAAGATATTTGTTTATTCTGATGCATCTGTCATTTTTAATTCTGATTCTTCTAGATTTCTCATCTCCATGAACCTTTTATAACATATCACATCACATGCATATTTTATGCTTTGCATAATTAATATTTGATTATCAACAAGTCATGGATTTTATAATGGTTATTTTGTTTAATGATTAAAGGAATTATATTGATATTTTTGTTGCTGGTCTGTACATTTTACATTGCACTGATAGGTTTAATTCATTGTACTCCAACTTGTTGTGCAGTGCTGAGAAAGGAAACCTTGGCGTGCCTCAGTTACCTGGCCAAGGTTGTTCATTTCACAGTTTTCGCACTAATACATACAAACTTAGTTTCATGGAAAGTCCTTCTGGAATAAAGGTCAGCTACAACGATATTCTTGTTTCCCGTATATATTATTAGAGATCCTTATGGATACAGTCACTGAATATTCTGAAATTTAGTGACAAAATCATTTGCACTTTGGCAGTTTGGCTTTTGCACAATTATTCATTGATAATTGTAGTTATTTGGCACTTATTCTCTATTTCTCGATTATATATATTAATCACATTTTTTATCAGAAAAATGTTGGGTATATTGACCTAAGTTGTGATGGAAAACTGAAGAGGCAGAGAACAGTCAAAAAAGAAGAGAAAAAAAAAGTGAAAGAATTTTGAAACACTATGTTTTGATCTTTGGATTTGTGAGTTTTGGCCTGATATAATTTTTTGAGTGACTTACAAATTCATATATATTTTAACCAAATGTGAGAATGATTGGTTTTTGGCTTTGTCCACTTCGGTATGGCTTGTAAAGCTGCATGTTAGTTGCAGAACAATAAAATGTTTATAAGCTCCTTAAGGTTTGGTTTGAGGCTGTGGAACGAGGAAATAAAATGATGTTTATGTTGTGTGGCAAGAGGAGAGTGTTTAGCATGCTGCTTCGTGACAGAGTGATTTTGGAAGTTTTTGGAAGAGGAGAACCTAGAGTGCATTGCATGTGAGGGTGTTTAAAGGTTGACCATTTTTATTCAATCCAATCTGTTGTGTATCTGGTCATTTCAGGTCTCTCCCCACATTGTAAGTTATATGGTCTAGGGTTGGATTAGATAGTAGATTGAGTAAATAATCATTTTCGTCCCTAACTTATTTTTGTCAGGAACATATTAGTCCCTAAAAAAATAAAACCTAACCCGTGGTCACCAAAAAATGAATTGTTTAGCCACATACATCCATCCTTCTGTTAACCTAGCTGTATTTAACTTACAAAATTGCATGTGGAACATTAACCTATGATGTGGCAATTTGTTGGGTGACATGGACTCGCAGGTGGAAAATGACATGGCTTCTCCTTGTTATTTCCCCTGAACCTGTTTCCAAAGAACCCCAACCCTTCAAATCTCAAGCTCCTTCTTTTACCCAACGCCCAAACCTCCCGCAATTGAGAATGTGAATAGTAGTATTGAAGTTGAGATTGCTTTCATTCCACACCATCATTAACAAATTGTTTTTTTTTTTCCCTACTGAAAATGGGATCAGCTTGTCTGTGAAAATAAAAATTTGGAGCTTTGCTACAAAGAAAGTAATTTTTGTAAAGAATGGCGCATGGAAATAATTGTGGCATTGGCTTATTGTTGAAATGTGCTAGTTTCATCGGTGATTGTGATGAAAGTACATCAATTCAGTCACAAGAATTTGGTCTAGTATCCTTGTCAAACTGCATTTTTGGAATATTTATGAGTCCAAAGTGGTTAGATGATTTGAGTAATCTACGTTAAAGCCATTTGAAAAAAAAATGTTACTCTACAATTGGTGTAGAACAAGAAGGAGGAAACCAAAGGAAACTGAGAATACTGTAAATTATTTTTTATGAAATCTTATGACAAGATTCAGAAGCCTAAGACGGATACTAAAACCTTAAATAGGCTACTCAAGTAAACCTAATTATACATGGATAAGTAGCTGGAACTCTAGACCAAAGAACTTCTAATTCAAAGTAGGAAATAAAATTGTAATCGGACTAGTAATAAGTTATATTAAGACTGAAACAAATAAACTCTAGATTTCCTAATTGCAAACCCAGAATTCCAAGGTATAGTACACAAGAAAAATAGAGTAAGTATAAAAATAATCTCTCCATTCTCCATCAACAAGAGCCTTTCCATTTTATGTTCGCATACTGATAGGAACTAGGTATTTTATTACAAAAAATAGGGATAAATCTCTATTATAGATAGGGGTGTCAATTCTTGACCCGACACAAAACGAAAATTTGTGTTCGGGTTGACCCATATTTATATTCATGTTGTGTTCATGTTGGCAAAATATGTGATGGGCCATGAGCCTGAAAGTTAGGGAATTAGTTAGTGTTATGGAAACTATTCTAGAATATTCTCAAATAATAGGATATAAGGAGGGGAGTGTGGGAGTGTGAGGTATGCATGTTTTCAATATTGGTTTAGTGGGGAAATTGGGAGACCTCTAGGGAACTCTCGAGCCTAGGTATTTGGCTTGAGGGGGAGTTGAGGCTTTCGAGGTTTATTTTCTGCATTTTATATTGTGTTAGTGTATGTAAAAAGAGGCTAGGCCTCCATTGTTAATGAATTTAGTATTGCATTTTTCTGGGTTCCATCAATTTGGTATCAGAGCACTTCCGATCTAAGGGGTGTTTCTATTCCAGATCTGAAAATAAATAAATAATGGATAACAAAGTGAACAGAATGTAGAGGAGCTTGGATCGATTGGAAGCAAGCATGGATCGAGTGGAAGAAGGACTGGATCGAGTTGAAGATGCTTTTCATCAACTTCAGAAAACAATTTGGACATTATAGATCGCATCGATCCTTGTTTTGCAGAAGAAAAAAAAGCGAGAATCAAAGAAACAAAAGTTGAAAAAAGAAGAAACGAAACAGAAAAAAGAATTGGAGAAGAAAAAGAAGATCACGAAAAGAAAGCAGAAAAAAAAGAACAAATCGAAGAAGCAATCAGAGAAGCAAAAAAAGAAAACACAGAAGAAAAAAGAAAAAAAGAAAAACAAGCAGAAGCATATGTAGAAGAAGCAGATCGAGAATCAGAAGAAGACGATGAAGCCAGAGCTAAAAACACAGAAGAACGATCAGAACGAACGCAGTAGATCGACAAAAATGAAGTTAAAGCGAAAACAGAAGAAGAGAACGCAGAATCAAACCAAGAAAAAGAAGAAATTCAAGACGGAGATGAGGAGTGTGAGGCAGAAAGTCAGGGAAAACTTTGAGGTGTTATCTACTCCGTTGAGACATGCAGATGACGAGGTGATGGCGGCATGGAGACATGCGCAGTGGCAGATTTGGGAAGAATGAAGATGTGGGCACAAGGGGTGGAAGAACGCGAAGTGATGATGGGGAGATGGGGAGGTGGAACGGGCTAGAGCAAAAATGGGTCAGGATGGCTTGAGTTTCGATCTGGGCTAGGGGGAAATAATAGGATAGGCTTCAATCCAAATACCCATAGGTCCAATAATTCTATAAACCAGAAATGTGATAATGGAGGAGTGGACTTGAGCACTCAAATTGGGTCCAATTCGTTTCAGCAATGGCATACAAACGATGGGTCTAACAATAAAGAAAAAGGGCCCAATTCTTTCATAACAAGGCCCAATGATTGACTTCATGGGCAGGGGCTGGTGATGAGTGACCCAGGAGAAAGGTAGTGGTCAACACGAAGGGAAACAATGAGCAACGGGAATGAGAGGAAAAGGGAAGAACAGTCCAAACGGCTTTCTAAATTCACTGGGGCGTTGCAACAAGTCATTGAGAGGACATGGTCAAGATGTTTCAAGCAATGGGACCCGGGTGGAAATTATCCCACATTACCTATCCCCTTTCTTCACCTTGAAGACAAGGTGGGTTTTGGAAGGGGAGTATTGATGGGCCATGGGCCTGAAAGCATAGTTATCAAATGCGGATTGTGGCATGTCGCGGCCAACCCCGAAAATGCTATAGCGTTATAGTGAGTTGCGGTTGCGGAAATAGCGGAATAGATATATGACAGAAATAATGACAAAAAGAAACATTTTTAAAGGCAGAGATAGCAGAAGTGACAGAGAGACACAAAGAGAATAAAAAATCCTTAAATTTTTTCTGTTACACATATAAATTTAGGACAAAATTGGCATTTTGCCTTATGACAGCAATATGACCGCAATTTTGCTGCAAATGCGATCGCAATGGCCGCTATTGCGTTTCGGTGCGGCGCGGGGCGGTTACTTGGGGAGAGGCACCGCAACGCCTATACGGCGCGGCTTGCGACGCTATTGCGACGCAATTAACTACTATGCCTGAAAGTTAGGGAATTAGTTAGTGTTATGGAAACTATTCTAGAATATTCTCAAATAATAGGATATAAGGAGGGGAGTATGAGAGTGTGAGGTATGCATGTTTTCGATACTGGTTTAGTGGGAAAATTGGGAGACCTCTAAGGAACTCTTGAGCCTAGGTATTTGACTTGAGGGAGAGTTGAGGCTTTCTGGGTTTATTTTCTGCATTTTATAGTGTTAGTGTATGTAAAAAGAGGCTAGGCCTCAATTGTTAATGAATTTAGTATTGTATTTTTCTGGGTTCCATCAATATGACACGCAAAAATTCGTGTCGTGCCGTGTCAACAAGCAAACATGCATTTGACCCGTATTTTTTTAGCTATTTACTGTTTTGACTAATTCGTGTCGTGTCGTGTCGTGTCAACTCGTACAAAAAGTGATTCGTGTTGGTGTCAAGAACTCATAAATTTCATTTTGCGTGTTATCCGTGTCGTGTTGTGTCAACTCTCAGAATTTGTTGATCGTGTTTGTGTTGAAGGTTTTGACACCAGTACAAATTTGTGTCGTGTTCGTGTTGATATATTCATGTCGTGTCAACCCGAATTGACATCCCTAATTATAGAGATCAAAATCACAGGTTCCTCACCTCACACTCACAAAACAAGAAAACAAAAGATAGAAATATTGCAGGGTATTATGATCCAATTACTAGGTATGGGACTTGGAGTCCTACATCGGAAACATAAGATTCTAGTGTGAGGTTTATTTGGATTTTGAGCTCTCTTATCTTACAAACTAACTTTTGGGCGAGGCTTTCCTAAGGTTCGTGTCAATAGGTATTAGAGCTTCCACTATGTCTCCTAGCTGCAATCGAGTGGTGCAACTGGTTACATTGGCATTGCAGTGTTCGCCCAGGGCTAATAAAAAACTAGCACCAAGCCAGGCCGCGTGGGAGCCGGGTCTGTAGAGTGTGGTGGGATGTTACGATCCAATTGCAAGGTATGGAACTTGGAGTCCCACATTGGAAACATAAGGTTCTAGTGTTGAGTTTATATGGACTTTAAGCTCTCCTACCTTACAAGCTAGCTTTTGGAGGGAGTCTCTCCCAAGGTTTGTATCATAACGCTTAAAGGGTTTGATTCCTCCCTACCCTAAGCCCCAATTCCTTATTGAGTAACTGCCTGGATTCCTACCCTCCCTCTCTCTGCCTTCATCATTTCGCCTAGCAGATTTCTCACCTCGCATTTTCCTCACTCCTACCTGCCACATACACAGGGTGGTTACAGCTCAAGTATGAAGCCTAACACATACCAATTCAGATTTGGGGGAAGATCCACTTCTATCTTGGCATTTTTTTACTTTCCAACCATGGTTTGAATGGAAGCTATACTCATTCGTAGTTCCTAATTTTTCTTGTTCTTATCCCATTTTGATAATTTTCATTTTAATCTGTTTACCATGCGTCGCATTAGGCAAAATGTTTTATTTTAGGAATTGAGGCTGTAACATTCATATTTCACTAGATATATGGTGAGCTTTTACTTCAAATCTTTGGTATTGTTGTGTATAACTCAAGGAAAATAAGTTAATAACTATAGTATAGTTCTGTTCTCTCAATTGTTCGGTATGTATTTAGCTGAGGTTCTAATTTGGAATTGTAACATTCATGCTTTTATGATGTTATGACCTCTATGTCTGGCATTGGTCTATCAAAGCATAAATGGTAGTGGATAATTGAGTTTGGTGGGTTTCCCTGAAATTTTCTTTCGGAGGGTTTTGTCTTAAAAGTTGGGTAAAGTAAGATGTCCTACTATACTTAGCCTTAGTAACACCATGAGCTATTTTACCAATTAAAAATATATATTTCTGCAAAGCGAAAACAGTCACAAAAACTATCAAATTATACTTTCAGTAGCAATATTCATTTATAGGTGCTTGTTATGATGATCCTAATGTGACTGCCATGATTTCCGTGCTTCTTGCAGATTATCTTGGTGACTCATCCTAGAACTGGTGATCTACGGGAATCCCTAAAGTATATCTACAATTTGTATGTTGAATATGTTGTCAAGAATCCACTCTATACGCCCGGGTCTCCTATTAGGTAACAGAATTTATACTTCCCTGTAAACGACATACATGTCCATTTACTAAAAAAGAATAATATACTTGTCTTTTGAATATGTGGTCTCATATTATCATCCATGGGCTGTCCCATCATTAAGTGGCATCATTGTATACCTTTAATACAAAGTTGCTGTCTTAACCCCAAGGAGTTGCACTAGTAATGGAGGTGAGCATGCTGCATGTGACATATGATTAGGCAGTGTCATAGGTTCAAATCCTATTTTTTCCAATTCAAAGACTTGGCCTCTAGGAATAACCCTGTTAATCTCTCAATTCCATTGTGGATGGCTTGCTTTTGGTCGAACCAAGAAGTTGGATTACTTGAAATGGGTCTATAAGCTGGCCTGGACACCACTTAACCTCAATACTAGAAAAGAAAAAAGAAAAAAGAAAAGGGATATGGCTGTCATATCATAACCATCACACATTCTTATGATCCTTCCTAGTACCCAAGCTGTGCAGAGCTTTCAAAGTGGACTGGTGAACTTGTGTCAAAAGGCCTCTCGAAGATACAATCTTTTCCTATTTCCTATAGTAAAACCAGACCAATTATTAATAAAATTGTTTCAATACAGTAAATGAGAATTGAACCCACTACCACTGGTTAGTAACTATTGTCTTTTAACACTACTCATGGCTATTATGAATTAATTCTCTCAAAAGCTTAAGTTGTTAGGTGAAGACACATAATTGGGTTTATATTACATCTCTAACATGTCTCCTCCGCAAGAGCTCTTTGGATTTGAATGATGAATAATGCATAGACCACCCACCTTGTGCTGAAGTTTAACTTCTTTTTTTTATTAGAACTGTAAAGAACCTTTGGGATACACCACCCCAAAAGCTAGCTCAAAGGGTGGGAGTGTCCAAGGCCTTATAAGCTCCACATTAGTTGCACATACAACCAATGTGAGACTATATATCTCAACACACCCCTTTACATGAGAGCCCATTGGGCTTGAAGAGTGGACAATGTAACAGGCCCAACCTACCTGTGCTAAGAAAGTCCACAAGAGAAAGTGGGGGACGGCGAGAAGCTCTGATACCATGTAAAGAACCTTTGGGATAAGAACAAAGTAAACAACAATGATTAAACTATAAATCACTTGGTCATAGCTCCGGCAAATGTCCCAATGTTTTGAATGGAAGAGATAGTATACATCCACCAATGGGCCAAATGATAAACCACAATAAGTGGGGCGACACCACATCTCAACCCAAAACCTTAAGGCTGTAGGTTTATAGGTCTTTTGCACTTATATGGTTATCACTTGGTCTATGTCTAGTTGATGTGGTAATTTTTTATAACTCATACTTGAATACTACAACATCTTCCCCTCAAGTGCGAGACCTAACATCATGCTCCCCCTTAAGGACAGCTTCTGCAGAAGTCTTTTTTCTTTAAGTATTGGAGTCACACTAGCCTTTAGCGAAGGCCTTGAAACATCACCATCTCCAAATTCCCAGCACAACCAAACCTTTGGCTCTAATACCACTGTTGGGAATGGTATGGGGGAGTCCAAAACCCTTTGCAAGGGATACATTCACTAATGGGCCAAATGATAAACTACAATAAGTGGGTCGACACCACACCTCAACCCAAAATTTTAAGGTTGTAGGTTTATGGTCTTTTGCATTTATATGGTCATCACTTGGTCTATGTCTAGTCGATGTGGTACTTCTTTATAACTCATACTTGAATACTTCCAACACCCAAAAGATTAAGTGTTAGGTGAAAATGCATGAATGGTTTTATATTACATCTATAACAGCTATATAGAGGGCGGCAATTGACAATGGCTAGCGCCAACCAAAAAAGTGACAAAATTGAAAAATGACATGTCTCGGTGTGTGGAGCAGTGGCCGGCAGAAAAGCCTACTAACAAAGATGAACCAAAGAGAAAAAGGTGACCAGAATTTGTGCGTGGCTGGTAAGAAGAAAACAAATTATACCGACATTGTTGAGAATAATCTGGTCCAAACTACAAAGAACCAATCCCTATTTATACTAATACTATCTCAGTTAAATAGAATACAAATCATGAAATATATGAAAATATAGAAACTAATCCCAAGAGACCATCTATGATATTACAAACCATTTTAAGGTATAATCATAATATTATAAGATATCTTCTAAATATTTTAATTATAGTATATCATTTTGCGCTCTACTGCGATGCTCAGTAGAATGTCTGCTAGCCCAATGGAATATTCTGGCCCTAACCCAATTCAGCCCGTGAGCTAGTGAGCAATGAGTTTCTCCATGATAGGTTTTAGGCTTGTAGCCTATTCACATTCACTTTTGATGTGATCTTGCATGCTTGATTTCAGGAGCTAAATAGATCGGGGTCCTTGAAAGTTGTGCCGCTTGCGTTTTAGGAAATAAGTCATCTAAGCATATCTATTGTCTAATATCTGGCAAACTCCGCCTATGTATGCTTGCATGCATGGTCTGTCCCAAGCCAGGATAAAGGAAGTGGGTTGGCATCAGATGTAGCGAACCATCCATAAAAAGCAGCTGTATTTGTGAGATGAACCCTTATGATTTTTCTTTGGGGCGTACCTTCATAGCGACGCGTTGCATCGGGCCCCGAGTGTAGCGAAAAATGGGCTAGGGCCCTTGCCACAAGACAAATCGGGCCCCAAGTGTAGTGATAAATGAGCTAGGGTCCTTGCCTTAAGGCAAGGCGCCAGGTCTTCACTCGGATTTGGTTAGAAGTATGTCAAGGTCCCAACACGTGGATGGGCGAGCGTGGCGGGCGAGTATATCCCAGGGGTTAAGGATCCGTTTGGGAAGTTGGAACATAGGAACCTTAACGAGTAAATTGTGGGAGTTACCAGATGTTTTTGCTAGAAGGAAAATGAATATTGTTTGCTTACAGAAAACTAAGTGGGTTGGAGAAAAGGCCAAGGAAGTGGATGGAACTGGTTTCAAGTTATGGTACACAGGTATAAACAAGAGTCGAAATAGTGTTGAAATTATGATCGATAAAAGTTTCAGAGATAAAGTTGTTGACGTCAAAAGAAAATGCGATAGGATTATTCTGGTTAAGCTTGTAGTGGGTGATTTAATCTTGAATATCCTCAGTGTGTATGCACCCAAAGTTGGATTGCAACCAAATGATAAGAGCCAATTTTGGAAAGACTTGAAGGAGGTTTTGAGGGGAATACTACAAGAGGAGAAGATTTTCTTAGAAGTAGATCTAAATGGTCATGTTGGTAAAAATAATAGAGGTTTTGATTGAATTCATGGAGGTTTTGGCTATGGGACCGAAGAAGATATCTTGAACGTTGCACTAGCCTAGATTTGATGCTAGCAATCACCTTTTTTTCTAAAAAAGGAGTTACATCTAATCGCATATCACAGTGGCCAAAATCATAGTCAGATTGATTTCTTTATGGCTAGAAGAGAAGATAGAACTTCTTGTGTCGACTGTAATATCTACCCAAGAGAGTGTGTCGCTACGCAACATAAGCTGGTAGTCCTGGAGGTTCGGTTCAAAAAAGTACTTACAATGAGGAAGATGGCCCATAACCCAAGGATAAGATAGTGTAAGCTTAAGGAGGAAAAAGAGAGTTAAATGAAAGAATGTTGCATGAAGGACCTTGGGAGTTTGATGGAAGAGCAAATGCAATATAGAATGAGAGGGCTATGTGTATTCAGAATATGGGAATGAGGGTGTTGGGAGAAAGCAAAGGAAATGGATTTCATACAAAGGAAACATGATGGTGGAATGGAGAGGTGCAAGAGGCAATTAAACAGAAGAAGAAATACTTTAGATCTTTGCATAAAAGTCCTAATGAAGAGAATTTGCAAAAGTTTAGATTGGCGAGAAAAAATGCAAAGAAAGCAGTGCGGAAAGCTAGAGGCAAGGTCTTCGTCATTTTGTATAAAAATCTTGGGAGCAAGTATGGTGAAAAATGTATATATAAACTTGCAAAAATAAGGGATAAGAAAAGTAAAGACCTCACCCAAGTTAGATGCATCAAGAATAAAAATCAAAAACTTTTGGTGTGAGTTAAAGATGTAAATGAAAGATGGATGAACTACTTTAACAAGTTGTTTAATGGGGATGGCGATAAAAGCAAGGTGGATTTGGAGGACACTTATAATAATTTGAATAGAAGATTTGTGCCAAAATTAATACACATGAAGTTAAAGAGGCTTTAAAGAGGATGAAGACCAATAAAACTTTGAGACCTGATAGTGTCCCTATTGAAGTGTGGAGATGCTTGGGGGATATGGTAATAAAATGGTTGACCAATCTTTTTAATAAGATTTTTCAGACAAATAAGATGTCTGATGCATGGAGGAAAAGTATGATTATGCCTATTTACAAAAACAAGAGAGATATACAAAATTGTTCTAACTATAGAGGCATTAAGCTAATAAGCCAAATTATGAAGTTGTGGGAGAGAGTTATTGAACTCGCTTGAGGAGAGATACCAAGGTTTCTGTAAATCAATTTGGATTTATGCCAAGAAGATGTACCATGGAAGCCATTTTCTTGATGCGCCAATTAATGGAAAGATATCGAAAAAAGGACTTATATATGGTGTTCATAGATCTTGAGAAAGCATATGATAGGGTTCCAAGGAAAGTTTTATGGTGGGTTCTTGAGAAGAAAAAAGTATCATCAAAGTATGTAAAGACATTGTTAGAATAGGAAATATTAGATATATAGATTTAGTTTAGATTTGTATAGATTAATTTCCTATCTGTAAATATTCTTTTCCTATTTAGTTTTGGATTAGGTCTGGGCTTCTCACTTAAGCCCATTAAGGTCTCTATGTATTGTAACTCTTTGTATTAGCTTTATATACAACATATTATTTTATATTCAAGTTGGTACTAGAGCTCTTTTGTTCTGGGGACCCTCGCTTCCGCTTAAAACTTCGTTTTCGCTTTAAAACCTAAGCCAACTGCTTATGAGTCCTCTTTTCCTTGTCGTGCGTCCTTCCGACAAGCCATCT